TCCGACGTACGACGTCCGATATCCAATAGGAGAACAGCTTTCTAATATAGAATCTCTCCATTGGAAAGCTGTTCTCCTATTGGATATCGGACGTCGTACGTTGACATCGAACGCGGTGTGAATCCTGCATAAGGCGTTTTTTCGTTTTGTGGCCACGATACCGTTTGGTTAGTTGATTGGTTTGGTCCACTTAACGCTCGCAACGCCTCGAGCAACAAAGATAGAATCAGACAGAATGACGTTACGAGCGTTAAGTGGACCAAACTAACCAACCAAACGCTACCGTGCTTACGAAACGAAAAAACGCCTTAATTGTGATTGTTTATGTCGAGCAGTTTAACTATGGTCGATTTGGGATTTGCATTGAAATGTAGTGAACAGTGGAGATTAGAGAGCCGTTTTTTTCCTAGTAAAATAGGTGGTAAACCAGCATGGCTCGATTTAAAAAACATTCCTGGCAAAAGTGAGCTGGAGTGTGAGTATTGCGGTAATCCCTGTATATTTTTATGTCAAATCTATGCACCATACGACGATCCTGATACGTTTCACAGAACTATATATATTTTTATATGTAAGAACGTGGAGTGCTGCAAATTTAACCAGAATGGAAACCTAAAAGTTTTCCGTTCACAATTGAATAAACACAATGTTTTTTATTCACCAAACCCACCTATCGAAAAGGAAGACTGGGAAACGAGTGTCGGTACGATCGTAAAATTATAAATTATTTCTCTTCTCTCCCCACACTTCAACTATTGCATGTATATCTGTAATATAATGTATGTTATTTGTTTATTTTTTTAAGATGTATCAAAATGGACAAAGACTTGCCATATTTGTGGTATTTTAGCACCATTTCACTGTTCCAAATGTAAAGTTGTCAATTATTGCTTTCGTACACATCAAATACACGATTGGAAAAATGGGCATAAAAAAAAATGTGGTACCAAAGCAGATAGTGTAAATGAGAGATTGTGTGAGAACAATGATATTTTGTTTTCTGAGTATGAGATTACAATTGACACCGAAGAACTTGATATGGAAGATATTGAATGTGAACAGAAAGAACTTGAAAAATATAATGCAATGATAAGAGATGGTACAGCTGGCACTCTTCAGAATGAAGATATGGATGATGATTTATTGCAGATGGCTCTAGATGAAAAGGATGAAATATTTACAGAATTCCACACAAAAGTTCAGGAGCATCCAAATCAAATTCTAAGGTAATTTTCATGATGGAATTAAACAATTTTATAAATATGTTAATGATAGCAATTCATTGATATTTATTGGCAGGTATAACAGAGGAGGAGAAGTTCTATATATCTCACCACATAATCAAGTAACAAATATTCCAAAATGTCCAGAATGCAATGGCAACAGGCAATTTGAATTTCAAGTATGTAGAATTTATTTTTGTATAATAAAGTACAAGAATTTGAATTAGTTCAAAAATTGTATGTTTCATAAGATGCTTAGAGACTTTTTTTGTATATGTAAGTATAAATGTATTAGTACATAATTTAACAAAGAATATTTTGTATGTCGTATTTTGTAGATAATGCCACAGCTACTACATTATCTTGGCTCAACAGACTTTAAATGTCTTGATTGGGGAATATTAGCTGTCTTTACATGTGAACAATCTTGCAAGCCTAACAACAAATATATAAAAGAATATATATGGAAACAAGATATTGTACAATAAAGAAAAAAATCAGAAATAAAGCAGAAGACATAAATGTATTTACTGTTACTTTTTAATATATTTAATTAAGAAATAATTTGTTGTTGAAATAAAGTATGACAATATAAAAAGAAATAAAAGAAATAATGATTAATAAACGGACGATTATAAAAGAAAATAGAAAAGTAATTTAAGGAACAATTTATATTTTGCTTGTATATCTTGTCTATATAAAAAATACAATAAAAAATATATTCAAAAATATATTTTTATATTCTATAATATTATTTCTTTGGTATCAGAATAATTTTATCTAAGAGTCATATTATGTTCAATCAATGATAACATGAAATTGTTGTAAGTCGACAATGAAAATTTTTGTCTTATAGAACACTACTATATACTATAGTAACTATATATATACTATATTTAATTACATAATGCCATATTTAATTTCTAAAATAAAGGAAAATATAATTTTTATAAAAGGTTCATAATTTTTAAAATGGAAATATAAACAATATGTGTTATCTCCAAGATGAGATCTTTACAATGAACCTTATTTTATAAGATAATAATCAATGAAAAGTCAATATATAAATATAATATTAAAATTCTAATGTATAATTTGTTAAAACTACGAATTTCAAAATTTTATATATATATATATATATATATATATATGTATGTATATATATATATAT